TGCAACATTTTACTGTTGGCTTTGTCAACTACTCGCTCTAATAACAGGGGTAAACATAACTTATACATTGAAACTTAAATAAAATCAGCGTGTCTGATTTCAGAGTAATATTGCAATAATTGACTCTTTCTACTATCACACATAGTTTATTTATGTCATGAGCTAGAACAACATATTATTAACATCAATCCTCACACATTCCAACTTTTCAACTTAAATACAATAACGTACAATAGTGACATTCGACTTCTACAAACTAGCTAATATGACTCACACTAGTGTATCGTGGACGAACATATCGCATATATGTTCGGGTATAGAGAGCTATCCAACATCCAACTACAGCCACCGTAAGACAGAAGATGTCCCATATATTTGCACTTAATATTTTATGTTGCTGTCCCATTTTCGGGATCCAAAACATTACTAAACTAAGGTTTTAGCCGCGATGTCGGAATATAGACAATTAACACAATTGTTGTAACAAAATCTGTAATAAATCATGTGTGTCTCAATTGTGAGTTAAACATATATATTAAAAAAAACTATGTTTACGTGAAAATAATGTTTTTGCATTTTCTAAAAACAAAACGTAATGTTTAGAATTAAATTAACAAAATTAAGTAATTAATCACGGTTCGTCTTGTGTTTTTGTTCATGTTGGTCTTTTAATGTTAAATGTATCAAATTGTACTATGTATCTCCCTTATTAGTTGCTTGTGCTATTCATGTAGGGGAGGTAACTGTTATTGCATCTAGTACTTAGTAGTATGGGAGTTAGCGAAGCAGAATACTGAAAGATTGATCTGAAATAATTAAAAAACCATATATCCTTCTAGAAGATTGGCATTTTAGAATTTTAAAATAAAAACCTAGATTGGCGGCTACACACTAAACTCAAGTAACTGGTTACACACAGACCGCTGTGGTTTCCGATTCAAGAGAAAATATTGTAGAAATCTATAAGTCAATTTTATAAAACACGTTATTTGACTTTGGCCAGTACAGTACTATATACTTTATGATTTAAAAACGTAAACTACTGTGCACGTTTCTATGTTATCAATGGACCCACCAAGACAGGCAGTTATGTCAAAGCTACCGTACCATCAGTCCTAGGAATCATCCCAACAATAACCTGCTAAAGAAATTCCCAACAGACCCAAGCCACAAGCTGAACAAGTTTAGAGCTGATGAACAAACAAGTTCAGACAGTGACTGAGTACAACTGAGCAGATCTTTGGTTACTGAGCAAACATACCTACAACACCACAACACCTTTACAACTTTCCTTACATTACAATACAGACACCTATAACATAATAATTTTTTGCAAGTGTTTGAATTTCACTTGAAAAAAAGCTGTATTAATTTCTTAATTTTTGTTAGCTTTAAATATATGTATTGTATTCTTACAGTACAAGCTAAATATTCAATATGAATAGTCTATGTAATTATACTAAATTTATGAATAAATCTTTTTAAAATATAGGGAAACCAATACAAATATAGTTGTATTTGTAAAAATTAAAGCCGTTTGGGAAATATAGTTTACATTATTTTTTTTTATTTTGTAAAGAATATATATGTCTTTGAAATGATGTTTAGAATTATTTTATTAATTCGTATATTTTCATAACTGTCCTTAACCTCTCTTTGAAGTCAACTGAAATGGCCAGGGAGAGTAAAACAGTAAAAGTCAGAATAATTGTTTTCCAAATTAAAAATACACAATAGGGATCTATGATGTGAAACGTAGTATTGCATTTATATGAAATAATATAACATTCCCAATCACCACAACATCCTGATTCTATTAATCCAAATTAAAAATAAAAGTGTTTTGTAAATTATTGTTTATATATTATTAGTGATTATTTCTTGACTTTTTGTATCCTTATTAAAAAACCGGAAGTAATTTTGTACTTATATTGACAATGCATTTGAAATAATCAATTTTGGTTAAAAAATATTGCTTTATGGCAAAAAAAAATTAAAAAAATGGAACCAGCTTTTCGATTATATAAGGGTTCAGTTTTTCAACGTCTGATAATAACGAACAAAGTTTATGCGTCTTCCGGTGGTGTTATGCGTCTTCCGGTGGGGAGCAGTGGAGGTTTGAAATATATTTTAACCCGTGTCTCCCCACCCAAGGAAATTTAAAGTCACCCCCCCCCCCCCCCGAAGTTACAAGTGCCACGTAGATAAAAATGTCTGAAAGAACCCTGATTAAAGAAGATTCGCATCCACACCACTAACATATTGGATTATTTTTTTTTTATTCCAATACTTATTAATGAGTTAGTTCTACACCGCATGATAGTTCGACACTATGGCTCCCAACTGAGTCCACACTGTAACTAAGCTACACTGACCACAGTTTTTAATTTACTTTTGTCCCTGATTGTAAGGGATCCAGAAATAATGCAAATACGACCACCTTCAAAGCTGAAGAGAAAAGTTTAACAGCACTTAAATAACAATTCTTTAAAAAAAACGAAGGTGTTTTTATTCTAATTTTAAAAAAAAATTAAGTTGCATTTTTTTCCAAATCTAAAAATAGTACACATTTTGTGAGAATTGTATAATCGTGTAAATTAAATATTCTAATAAGTAGTGTGTACGAATTTTCTGTACGTTCTTCGAATCGAATTTGTTTCAGTAATTTGTTATAGTTATTTCCCTTGTATATACCAAATAGTTTTTAACCTACTCAATGGTTTTAACCCGCGCTTTTCAAAATTAAACAGTTCATTACATAGTATGTCCTACAACTGGTATTTTTAGCGTTGACAACGACAGTGGTCAAAGTAGAGCGAAGTTATGCCTAGTGTCCATCCAAACAAAGCGGTTGTAGTTGTGGTTACCCAGCTGTTACGTCCTTGGTTACTTTGTATAAGGAAATATGCACCTTTAAGAAGTCAGATTGACGCTAGGCATAAGGCAACAGCCACCAAAGTAACGTTATTACTAATTTTTTTACACAAACAACTGTCAAAACGTCCAGATAGATTCCTTAATTAAAATATCATTAGTTTTTCTGATATAAACTATTGTCCAAAAAAAAATTAAAATATATCATTTGTTTTTCTTACATAACCAATTGTCAGGGCCGGCGCTACCTATAAGGCGATCTAGGCGGTCGCCTACGGCGCTATCCTTAGGGTGCGCAAAAATGTGTGATCGCTATTTTTTTTAAAAGTACCTAATAATTAATAACCTTCATTATATTATTTGAACTAAAGAAGGGGTAATATATAGGCCTAAAGGCGTAGAGATCTATTTTGGTGCATAGGATGAACTATCAATTTTGCGCCCCTTCCTCAAATTAGGCCAAATTAGGTGAAAATGCCCCCTCCCTCCCAATTTGGAAAGGTCTGGGCGCTTTTTTACAGTTACCTTGCCTTTTTATTTTGGTGTCATACAATTGATGCATAAAAATGTAAAGAAGTCCGTAATGCCTAGTAGCAGTCAACATTCTTTATTTCAACTGCATATTATACAATAATGAGCCGTTTACATTATTATCTACCTCGCTGGGCGCCCCTTTGAGTCGGCACCTCTGGGATTACAATAAATTAATTATTGTATTGAATATAAATCTTTTAATTTCGAACATTTCAGATTATTTTCTAACTCTAATGTTGATTCAGTGCTCGATATAGCTTGTAAGTCTCATCGGAAAACTTCAGATTTTCAAATTAAATTAATTTAATTTATTTAATTGTTGGCACTAGAAGATCCTAAACAGAATTTTAAAACAGATGTCTACTATGCTGTATATATTGGATATTGATATACAGTCTATTTAAAGAAAGGTTCCAACAATTAGAACTAAATAACAATTTACTTGGCTGCTTTTATATGATATATTCCATATCAACAAAAAGGCTCCTGCATATATACCTACTGACTGCAAAATTTAGAAATATCGTTTATGCTGAAAGCTATTATGGATATTGATGCTAATAATTTTTTCAATGAGCTTCAACTAAAAGTTTCCTATGCATATGCCACGAACAGATGTCCTTCTCTATATAGTACAACCAAAATTGGAAGATAATGTACCGCATGTTGTTATTTCCTTGCGAATATTAACACTTCTAGTGTCCGTGGCTAGTTGAGTACTCTTTTTTTTTTTAAATTGTAATTTTTAACTACAGGTGTGAAACTACTATACCGCCAGACCCCGCAATACGGCAGGGAGGAGGGGACAGAACTTTGTGTGGAGGGGGGGTCAAAATCAGACCAAAAATAATAACTTTCTGCACCTAGATAGACTAGTGGTTTTGTGAAAACAAAAAACTAATCGGTTGCAGCAGTGATTGTTCCACAGTAACTAACACATACCGTTGCGTAGAAAAAACCCACTAAATAAGTTGAAGATTGAAAAAAGGCAAACCTTGAAACCACTTCCATGGTTGTATGATCATCTTTAAAGAGTCGAATAGGGTTGATGATTAAGCTAATTAAAATAGTTTTGTACAAAAAGAAATTTCTTCTCTTTATTTTTATTAAATAAAGCATCCTGAAGAATGACTAAGGTATAACTTGAATTAATTCAAAATTAATTATATGAATGCAAGAAAACAAAACAAAAAAACAACTTAAGAATAAAACTAACACGGGAAACCATTACACATAGGTCTGTAATATAAATTATCCATGATTAATATTCTTTTGACCGACTTGCCAAATAAAATTTTAGATTATTCACAACATTCGGTGGGTAAAAATGAGATTTTTAAAACTAAATTCTTTCGGTCCAGATGAGTTTGAACCGTTTTCTGTGTGGTTGTTGTCTCATGATGAATATGCAATAAAATAGGTTAAATCAAATGGTTAATTTAAAATTAAGTGAGACAGTGTACTAAGACACACAGACACATACATGTATATATACATATTATATATATATATATATATATATATATATATATATATATATATATATATATATATATATATATAATATAGCCCAAAGACAAATTGCAATTAACGGCACGCACATTGAATCTACTAATTGGATAAAGACCCTGTTTTCGTAATTCCTTTTTACTCTTGCAGGTGAGTTCATAAGTTGTGAGTGCACGTCTCATTGCCCTGGTCTTCTTTTGTCTCAGGTCCTTGGGTTTGTGAGCCTTCATTCGGTAGATTTTACCTAGGTTATCCTTCTGGTAGAATTTACGTAGGTTATCCTTATGTGTCTGTTTGATGACAGTGAGGACACGAGCAACTGATTTGGGCACAGTGCAGATCTTAGCTGATTTAGCTGCAGCTCCACCAATTACTTTGGCAACACGAGAGGTCTGCAGTTCATTTTTTAGCTCTTCGAGCTGTTTCAGAAGCTCTTCCTCCTTCTTGCCACGAAGTTCCTTAGCCTTGACTATGGCCATCGTAGATGAGTTAATGCTACAAATAATTGTACTGTGTCATTTTGTCAATCGTGATCCAAAATTTTTAATAAATTGTTATTGTTTGAAGAAGTGATGATACAAAGAAAAATTTAAATTTATTCTAAAATTCAACTCAAAAAAAATTAAGGGTGTTAAAGTCCTACAAATAAAAATATTTAAACACAAAGTTAAAACGATAAGCGAAATTGATGTTTTAAGATTTATATACATTTTTAAATTAAGAATTTTTGATACAATTGAAACCTGGTTACCATTATTTAAAAATAATTACAATCAAGAATTTAAAAAACAAGTTATAATTACATTATTTCCCCTGCAAATAAAAAACCAAGAAAAAAATCTACATGGGAGGTAATTTCGTTTTGTCACCGCCTCCGAGAAGTAACTCGCTTGTATCACCCCTTTTTCTAAAACGTTTCGTTGGAAAGGAGACCACAATTTAAAAAAAAAATGTTTGTAAGCAGCAGTTAATTAAAATGTATTTTAAAATGACACATCCGTTTTGTAATAGGGCTTAACCGTCATATTTAAATGGCATAAAAGTATAAATGTAATTACAAAATATAGCTTAACAAACTGTAATATTCCACTAAAGTATATATGGATATATATATGGATATATATATATATATATATATATATATATATATATATATATATACGGCAACTCTAGGCTATGCCAAAGAGAAGGAAATGAACAACCTGTTGTAAGGACAAGTTGCAATGACTTCAACTTATATAACTCTTTTTGTATTATTGTATTTATTTTGCCAACTTATGATTATTATATTTATGTATGTATTAATGATAGAACCAAAACTTATTTGATAAATTGTATTAGACTATTAAATATGTATTACTGTAAACTCTTATGACAAATAAAAGGCAATTTAAACCCTTTTGCAATGGCTAATAGAACCTTCCTAACTCCTTATCTCCCTTTCCTCATTTTGTGTTGGACGTGTAACCTTTCCCTTTTACCATATAATACATCCACGTGTCAAACATCCCCATCAACACACTGATATAAATAATCGCTTACACAGCTACCATTATGAAGAGAAAAAAAAAACATTGTGAACTATAGAAGGGAAATAGCTGCTTAAATATTCCACCGTCCCATCATAAAATCGGTTATAGCCCCTTACCAAACGAACATCTAAAATTTCGAATCACTTTCTGTCAACAAAAAGGTACAAACCTGGAAAAAGATCGACCCCTGCTCCAACCTACATTAACTAGATTTCTGGTCTGATGGTTACTAACATTGTACTTATAATATCAACAAAACATATTTCAACAAATAGTATTCAACTGACAAATTATGCATTACTGAAATCCTTTTTACAAGAGGAAAATAAACCCCGTTGTAATATCTAGCTTTACAGACTGCAATCTTTATAAATATACTTGTATTCACCCTTTTACTCCTTTCAGGATCTTGATGTTCATTTCTCTTTTATTATTAATACCTTACTTTTTGCCCTACACATTAGATCAGACATTGTTAAACTAGTTTCTTTTCCTTGTGTGTAAATAGAATACTAGTGGGTAAACACTTGGTTTATCTATCTATGCTGTGGTGGCCATAGGTGCAACTAAGAGACGGCGTGTTTGATTGGGGATTGTGACCAGCTCGCTCATAGAGTACCTTGAGTGCAGCACTCGCAGAGAACAGTGTCAGTAGAACGTGAGATACGGAGTGATACAGTGTGTGGACTAGTGACATTGGAAGTCTGTTGATTTTCATGTTATTCTTGGAACAGTTATTATTCATTTAGAAATAAAGTGTTGTAATCTCGAACCTGCAGTCGGTGATTCTTGATTCTTTAGATGAGGTGGATATGTCAATGCCGAATAAGGTGTCCACAGCCTAGCGACAGAAGTCCTAAGTCGTGGACAAATACCTACAAGACAGGTGGTAAGACACCTCTGTCGCATCTAGGTGCTGCGAGAAGGTGTACAACACAACCTATCAAGGTACGTCACACGTCTGTCACATTTGGCGTCGTCGGCAGGATGGAAACGAGAAACACACACAAACAACCAAGAATCATAAATCAATCACACCCTCGGTTACACATATAAACACATTGGTATAAGGCGGGCGCCGGGATACAATCTAAATATATAATTCTCTTCTTGGAGACGTTAGAAAACAAGCTGCAAGCGCTCCTTGCAGTCCCCTCTCTTCCTCTCTATCACTACCGCCCCCACCCCCCACATGGTCTGGTGAGCTGTGGTTCACGCTAAATGTTTACAATCCGGGTTTAGTGACGGCTATTAGGGGCAGAAAATTTAGTTTGAAACTATTTTAAACTTAAGAGGAGGTAACTAAGAGGAGGCTTCTTTCACGGGGGGTGGGGGGCGTGTAGGGTAGGGGTGGGGGAAAGGGGGGGGGGTTAGTGTTTTAAAGCAAATATTTTCAGTGGCAGCATTGGTACTGTCGAATTGACAAATTATGAATTACTGAAAAGTAGAAAATAAAACAACTAAATAGCGGCGTCGGCTCGTATTATATATTTCTGCTAAAAATTCTAGCGCTTCTGCAATCACTACCCTTCAAGCTGATACTAAAAATAGTTATAATAATTGATCAATTTTAAAAAAAAAATACATCGAAAAGCTAGTTGTTTATACAAGCGATACATTTTCATTGAAATAGGCATTTACATTAAAATGTGCATTTTCAATGAAAAGTGCAAATGCACGTTGGAATTATTATACTTCAGATATTTAGACAAGTGTTGTCGTTATGTATCATATTAGGTGCAAAATAAATTAATTGAGTTTACCCTTAACATTGGATTGTGTGAGCAATGTAGAAAGGGTCGATTTTTACTTTTAACTCAATTATTATATAAAAAGCTAAGGTTTTAACTTTTAATTTAAATTTAATTAACAATTTAAATTAATTTTATATTTTTATTTAAACAATTTTATTGAATTACAATTGTAACTAGAAATCATTTTCTTTTTAAATTAACATTATATTGTGTATTTTATTTTTTTATTTTTTTATATAACCACATTTAAGAACAAATTAAAATGTTGTCTCCCTTGCGTATGTGTCATTTGAAAGAATGTTAGGTAAGGGGTCTAGTACAGGGGTCGGCAACCTGCGGCTCGCGAGCCGCATGCGGCTCTTTTGATGTCAAGTTGCGGCTCTACAGCTTTATGCTCAATAAAAAAATTGTTCTGCAACACTCGGTAATGAACGATAAAATAATAAACATAAACAATAAACACTCGCTATTCCATTAGAATATTTAGTAACGCCATATTTCAATGTACTTTCTATCTGTCTATCCCAAATTGCAACATTCAACTTCTTGGCGGAGATTATAAAGAAACTAAACGAGCTAAATGTAAAACTGAGAGGAAAACTCAGCCTATGCCTTGCTTAAAGAAGTGGTTTGTTTCGAAAAAAAAACAACTATTTTTTTTTGTTAAAGACATGGAGAGCGGTAAATTACTTAATTACAAAAAATCTGAAGAAAAAAAAATATCGTGATGAAACCAATGCTACTACTAACATGAATTACTTCAGTATTACTATAAACAAAATGAAGGGTGTTCAAGCACTCTGACATTTATAGTAGACCCTTTGTTTCAACACAGAAACAAATGAAATTATTTCATACATTTAAATTAAAGCTATTTATTTAAAATTGTATATATATATATATATATATATATATATATATATATATATATATATATATATATATATATACATATATATATATAATCTTTAACAAAGATCATATTGACATAAAAATGTTTGTGGCTCTTTAAAAACTGGATAATTTTGAAAATTATAACTTTTGGCTCTTCCGTCTCAAAAGGTTGCCGACCCCTGGTCTAGTATTCAATATTTTAACTCCCTTTAATATTTTTTTTGTAATTACAGGGGAGACTACCTGCTTACAAATTGCTACTATTTAAAAAAAAAAACTTGCAAAAAAAATAAGTAAATTACAAAGTATACCAATTGTTGCTCTCGTCATTCAATACATGATTTATATCAATCTTAGAATAATCAATATTATGGTAATTGATTTATTTTGAAACAGATATTAATTTTATCTTAATTTAGTTCCAATGATAAAAACTTTACTATTACTTTTTTAAATTTGTTATATATTTTTCAATAGCTTAATAAATTCCCTCGATTCAGTTTGTACTAACTATACAAAATTTATATGTTTAAAAAAAAAAAAAAAAAAAATTTTTAAAAAGGAAGCTTGTGAGAGTACTGTAATAGATACACATGTTTAAAAAGGCAGAATGTTTGATCTATTGTGTCTCATTGTACTCCACATAACATACCAGCTGCTTATAATAATTAAAACATTTATTTCAGCTCTACTTAAATGCTCAAACCCCCTCAACCCACCACGACTATGAAAAAAATATCCATTGAATAACCTTTGAACTACACATTTGCATTTTCAGGTTTAAAAATAAGATTGTAATTAGACGTTTTGTATTAGTTCTTTTTATAAGCAACCCATCTTAAATGAATTTAAGAAGGCTACATGTAAGAAAGAAGCATTACTATAGTTAATCTGTATCAGTCCTCACAAAACGATGATGAAAACTGTAATACTAAAGCGAACATGGAAAGGCACACTGACGCTGTAAAATACATGTCTGAGGCAAAAAAAAAAAAATTCAAAAGGGACAATCATTCACTATAACTTTCAAATATATTACAATTAATTAAAAGGTAAAGGTTACCTTAATTAACTTATGTTGAACAGTGTAGCAATAACCAATCGCTAAAATTTTTCGAGTGACGCCACAACCGCTAGTCTAGTGCAGAGGCGTTACACCCTTACCGGCGCCCGGGGACAAACTTTTAATTTGCAACCCCCCCCCCCTCAAACTTTCTATTTGCATCCCCCTCCCCATATATTTTTTTATATTTGTAATGCAAAATTGCTGCTAAAATGAGATTTTAATTTGTTTTTCCAAGA